CCTGAAAAAACCAGATTCTATAAAAATATAAGGAGAGTCTATTTTACCGTCATATTCAGATATAATCACATCTAGTGTTAGCTAATATCTAGATATATGTATCTATAGACACGTATAGATGTTTTATGTGTCTGAATCTATATTCGAATTGGAGTATCAGTATCTAGATAAAAGAACAGTATCCGAATTGCTTTCAGATGCATTTTCAGATTCATTTGTACTTTTTGTCCGTGGAAAAAAGTATGTTTTTTTAGAGCATTTTTGATCTGACTATTACTGTCGTAATAGCAGATAACGAGATAACTAATTCTTTAAATTTTTGAAAGATCCAAATCATGTAGAAAAAAACAACTGGTAGTGTTATAAAGGTTCTCTCTTATTTGTCGAGCAAAATGACATCCCATCAAACACACGTTTTTCTCATATGAAAAATGTATTTTAAAAATTTAACACAATTCTATCTTCATCAGCACCGGTTGAACGATTATTCAGCACTGGTAGTCAAATTTTAGTACCGCAACGAAATAGATTGGGTAATGGTATTTGGAAGCATTTTTAGTATGTAACAGTAATAACAAATAAAATGGAAGTTGTAATATAAACAAACTATTTTAGTAAAATATTTATTCAATATATTTTGTGCATATTAATGTAATAAAAATAATTTATAAGTATGTGAGTATTTGTATCTATATACATTTTAATTTGTGTATCTGTATTTAATTTATCTGTATTTAGATACATTTTTTCATATGTATATCGAGATATATTTCAAAAGTGTCTTACTCATCACTGGTCATATCATAATCTTTTAACAAATTATATCCTTTGCGATATCATTGACTAGAATATATTTAAAAAATAAAAAAATTATATAAAAAACATTGGAATCCCATATTATCACTTTTTCCTCTAAAGATCATGTAATAATACTTGTAGGATTTTTAAAAAGAGCTATAAAAGAAAGAATATTTTGACTTCCAAGACAATGACTAGGACGTGATAGCTCTTTTGACCGGAAGCTATGTGTAACTTCGATACTATTTACGATATCAATGGCAGTAAACGAGACCCGCACAGTGCTATAAAAATCCCAGGCCACGCGATTACGACCATTTTCTTTATTTCTCCTCTTTTGCCACGAGCGATGCGGTCGTAATGCATCGTACAAAATATCCCATGACGTTGAACACGGCTCATTTGTGCAGCATCTTCTACCGGTGTTATCAAGCAAATCACCTTCCTCCCCGCTGTCTTTGGATAATCTACGAGCTACATTGTATCCATGGCATCGCGAAAAGCGATTTAATTTCCTCGAAGCGTGGGAAAAACTTCATAAATGCTCTCATGATTTCCGAACTTATATTACGTTGTCAAAGAAAAACCAAAGTTATAAGAATTAGATATTTTATAAGAATTTCACACAAAAATAACTTTTAGTATAATTACAAGACGAATTTACAATTTTACATTACATGCATTTTCCGAAGAAGAGTTTTAAGTAAAATATGTAGAAAAAATTGTAGACGTTTCGTAAGATATTAAAATTATTCAAAAATTTAATGTCGAAGATAGTAAAAGACTTGATTCACAACATTATAAAAGTATTTGTGAAGCCATTTAATTATGATGTAGTAATACAGTTTGAATAAAATCTCACGAAACACTTTTTAGAAAGATTAGCTACGTTAATCTCGAGCATCTTATCTTTGAAAGATAATTCTTGTCGCGTAAATGACGAAGGACTGTAATCAAAGCGTAAGTACGTAATGATAAAAGCGTTGCACATCCGAGGCGCATGTTGAAACGAGCTCGATAGAGCTTGCAGCAGGAAGGGATAAAATGCGGCGAACGAGTAATCTTGCGGCGCGACGTGCTTCTTAAAGGGAACGAGCTATTAGCGAGCGGCTCATCCTAGTTTAGGACGCAGCGGCGACGTCCGTTTCTTGGGACGAAGTACCTGAACTTTGACGAGCGTCCGCAAGATATTAAACCGAAACCAAACTAACTTCCTCGTCCGCCCTTCCATCTCCGCTTGAGCGCGGTGCAGTTCGTCGGCTAGTTAATTACTTAGGTTCCAGACATGGGAGATGGAGATTCTAAGGGGTTTCTCCGCATTACATATAATGTCGAATGGCGCTTCGTGCGACTATCTCGCTACCGGAGGAGCGATGGAAGCAGTTCCATGCCCGAAAGCTCGAGGAAATTAAATCTATTCGAATGGACTACGCGACAGGCTATAACTATCCAACCAGCACCCCCTTTAGCATTATCGTGAGGCTTCTACTTTTTCGTAGGAGCATGCAAGAGCCCATCCACTCTTCTTCTTCATCCTCGCCAGCCCCTGCCGCTTCTCAGCAATTTTGCGCAAAAGCTTGGAAACTTCGCGGCACTTTGTGCTCCATTGTTTGACTTGTGCTCTAACTATCCGTTCCTAGAATCAACCTAATATTTTACTTCAGAGAACGAACGGCCCGTCTCGTATGATGGAGAGCTATTGGAAAGTACTTGTACCCAATTGACCCTCTCTCTTTCTCCAGCCATTTCTTATGAACTTACCTGCACTGCCTTTTCCTTTATCCCTTTTCTCGTTTTTCTCTTACCTGCATGCTCTCTTACTCTTCGCTCTAGCTGACGAGCATACTGCTCGTACTGCTGCACTCGCAGAAACCACATCTCTTGTTCGAGAGCTGTGGATCTTCGATTTAAAAAGTTTCGACCAGCTTGAGGTGGTTCAGCGAGGTTTCACTATTAGTTTCTTGCGTCGATAATATCCAAAGTAATCAGACTATAATTGCTCCTATCTCTACGGGTGGTGGATCTTATCTCACTATAACTTACACTAACAATTCGCTCGTATTACGGACAAAGAAATATATTCTTGCGCAAGATAACAATTTCTCGATGATTAACGACCGAATCTCCTGTAAAGAACTTTATTTCCACGAGCGTAATAAAAAAATCACGCGGTTGTAATGCCGACGAGGTATTTTCGTCGAATGCAGCCGCGTTGAAAAATCGACGAGGTAAAATCGCATAACTTTCTGCTCGCGCTTCGCGCCGAATGCGGCTTACTCGCTGTTACTCACCGCTTAAATCCATTAGCGCGTCGAAATCCCGTCGCGGATAAAATTCTAACGTTAGATAAAACGGTAGAAAAGTGGAAAGAGACAGGTAAAGAGAGAGGCAGAGAAAGAGAAAGAGAGAGCACGCTTTGGAAATGGTCCCACCGATTATACCGTCGTTTCTGGAAACGTCTCGGCAGCCTCATCCCAATAGCGCTGCTCTTCCATTCGAACGGAATCTTGTCATTCTGAAGCGACGATTGCCGCGTCAAACTTCGAGCGGCTCTCTTCAACGTCCTATCTGGAACACTTTCCTCTCGATCCGGACCAACTTCCTACAGTGCGAATTCCATATGATGGGATGAGGCGGGGCCGCGCGACGACGACGTCTAAAGAACTTCGAGGGCGCGTTGAATCGATTAAATGGCATTCCGAGCTACGAAACTTTTCTCTCCCGCGAATTCATAGCTCACTCGGCATTTTGCCCGGATTATGTCAAGACTGCTAGAGATCACTCGAGATTTGTCTCGCCGCAATATTGCTTCCGCTGTTTCCTCAGTGTATACGCACCCATGAGAAATTTTATTAACCTCATCGTCCAAATATTAAAAGTGTGAATCATTAAGTACTAAAGGTGTCAATCATCCATCTGTTTAAAGCGTAATGATTAATTTATTTACTTTGAACGAAATTTAGCATTAAATCTCAAATCCTGCATACGTAATGAATCTATTAACTACTTGCAATAATTAACACGGCAATTAATAATTATTGTTCTGTCATAATTAATTATTGATTCTTGAATTTATAATATTCATTAAATTCATGCGATTGAATTAACGTCCTCCTCGCCGTCCTTAAATATGTGTAATACATTGTCTGTAGTTGTATCAACTGAAAGAAAATTAAATGTCGCGATAAGAAGTGTCTATAATGTATCCTGTAGAAAATACTGGTCGATTCTTGCGGTAGAATTTCTCTAAGAAAAGAAACACCTTGCTGAAAGGATAGTTAATTTCCTTGCGAATCCTGATTTCGTCTCGTTCGAGAAGGGCTAAGAGCCGCCACCCTAAGGGAATCTCCCGACGCAATTCCACGGGGATCGGATATACGAGGAAGTCGGACAAAAAGTCAGCTGCCCCTCGTCGATGCTGATAGATTCCTGATGTGCTCCCAGGATAGAAGTTTTTGTAACGTTCACTCGAAACCTCTCGCATCGAGGTCGTCGGGACGGAAGAGATAAGAAGTCAATGTATATAGCGAGACGCATGGCGGCCAAAAATTATGTTCGAGATGGAAAAGTCGGCAAAGGATATCCATTCAATGGCTGCTTCTTTTTATCGATCGTTTTATACCTTAGCGTGCCGTATGGTAGCGATAAAAGTGACGTACACTGCCGTTTATGGAAGTTTGGACATCGCATAAATTTTATCGAATGGTCATGCAAAAAATTAGAACATTATAAAACAGCAATTGTGTTATTCTTTTGTATATTTTAGAGTAGGGTAAGTGGTCCAACAATGAACCATGTAAATTTCAGAGGCTTATATCTCTCTCAATTATTGAGTTGAAGATCTGTTTTGGCATACAGTTTATGAATTTAGTTGGCTGCATACTGTAAACAATAACTCTTAAGTTATTTTTTAAGTTTAACCACAATTTCGATTATTTCAAAAAACGGGAAGTGGTTCATTGTGTACAAGGGATGTGTACACAATGAACCATACTATTTTTAATAATGAACCGCATGTTATATACTGCGAATTGTTGGGATTATTTTAGTTTTGTTATATTTTAACATATTTTATTTAGAAAATAGATAATTATGAGATGATAAGGATTCAGGAGGCCGATCGCCGCGTTTTTCTGCCAAATTCTTTCGTTTTGAATGAAAACGCGTCGAATGAATATATTTTTATTAAGATTTTAGATGGGAGGGAGGGGTCGTATTCTAAATAATTACCACAATGAATTATTATTTTGAAGGTTATCGTAAAAAAGGTTATGTGCTATAGTTTATGTTCACTACATTAAAATGATTCATTGTAGCCCACCTAACCTTTTCCACGATAATCTCCAAAATAATGCAACAGAAAAAAAATTGCTTACAGAATAATAAAGCCAAAATAATTGTGCACACCAAACTATTGCACAATGAAAAAAATGATAGGTATAACAACAAAAACAAAAAATGCGTAAAACTTACAGAAAAAACTTACTTTGCAATCCAAAATTCTTAAAATGTGATATTACATGTTGTTCTTGGCGCGATTTGCCAGCCGACTGGGGAACCGAGGAAGGGTTCAAATGCAAGTCGCTGCATGATAACAGCGCAATCTGGTAATGTCGCATTTACGAAATATCGTAATAGTTCATAGTGTACTACTGGTTCACTGTTGGATTACCTACCTTATTTATACACATACTAATACCAATTGCAAAAGTTTATAAATTATTTTTATATGCCAAAATACATTATTTCTTTCATAAAACTTTGATAGCATAATCGATAAATTTATTTAGAGAACACAAACATGGATTCATGCTCCAGTGTATGTTGTCAGCCCACTTGGTAATATGTACACAGCTTTATAAATTATTTTTTATTTTATACGTTAAACGCGAATTTTTAAATTTTTATTGATTATTCTATCAATGTTCTACGAAATAAAGATAATATAATACATTTTTATATAAAATTAAAAATAATTCATAAAACTTTTGCAATTGGTGTTACATATTAATATGTGTACAAGTACCTTAAAATATATAAAAAATATAATTGCTATTCATGCCTTAATTTTTTACACCACCATGATGCAATAAAATTTATGCGAGTATCTGAACTTCTGAATGAGTAGTAGTATATATATATATATATATATATATAGTAGATAGATACAATCTATCGTATTATTTTATCTATATAATAGCCGCCATTTGCTCCATGTATACGCGCTCGCGAGAAACTTTATTAATCTCGTTTGAATATCAAAAGTACGAACGGCCGGCTAAGTGACCGAAATACCATCTCATCGATCCATTTAAAGCAGGAGTGGCCAATCCACAGCAGACGTGCTACTAGTGGCACGCGCTGTCAGAAAAAAATTTAAAAAACCAAAAATGACACAGCAAAATAGCAACCATACTTCACTAAAATCTATCTTTTACGCTTTCGCTCTTTGGTTACATTTTGTTCATTTTTTTGCTAAAGGTATTAGATTAATATTTCATTGTTACGTTTTTATCATATAACAAAGATTTTTGTCACATGATAAACAATACATTGATTAACTATTGGGATAATTTTCTGAAGAAAATTTTATCCGATAGCGCAAAAACAAAAATCCTTTAAGCGCGAAAATGAATAAAACATGCAATCCTGATATTTTGATTTAATTTGGTTTGTAATAACTTACTTTTTAAAAATGTAAAACAACATAGTAAAAAAAGTAAACTTTATTAAAAAAAAGCTTGTTTTCAATGGAAGAAAAGAAAGTATCCTAAGTAAGATGTCGATCTTTTTTTTTAATTCTATAGCATAGCAGCACATCAAAGATTTCGGACCTCCATAATGGCAAGTCAAACAAAAAGATTGGTCACCTTTAACTTAAAGTATCCATATAATAATTAATTTATCTCTAAATCTTTATAGCTAAATCTCATATTACGCATATATAGTAAAATTTATTAATTACATTTTCAATAATAATACATGCACATTCTTTCCCTCATATCCTTTCCTCGTATTGTATATCAGCTCGTATATTATAATTATGGTAGATAATTCATTAGCTACTTTGGAAGGACATAGATTAGTTCGGGGTTATCTCCGCGAAACATTTCTCATCTCCGCCAACGCGGTCATGATGATCTAACTCTTGATTTCTCGCATGTATCACGTGTTGTAGCTCATTCGATTAATGATCCTCACGTTACTGCGGTAAACCATAATTCCTTCACCTCGTCCTCGTAACCGGATAATGTTTCCGTATTCAAGCAGCAGGGAGTTCCGTAGAACTGTAATGTAAGAATTCAAAATCCAAGCGGATCATCATCGATCGAACAAATGGATTTACGAGTTCGATTACTTGCCGATCAGTCTGGTGATATAGTTTATTGATCCTAGAGTAACGAGTATGCATGAAAGTTTGGAGTTATTCGAAATGGTTACAATATACTCACTGCCAAGGTAATCCTAAAAGAGACTTAAAGCTCGAGTGGATCATGTTTCGTTGTACGAAGCATGTACTTTTCCGAGCCAAATTGGCTTAACTCAGTGGTGACTTCTCTGCGTGTCATATATGGTTTTATAAGAAAACCATTGTATAAGTAATATTTAAACTTTGAAGGTATTGTCAATCTCAATTTATAGTAATACCTTTAAAGCAGATTGACAATTATGTGATACCGTGCACAGGTTTATTACTATAAAAACGGATATTGTGAGTGCGAGTTACACGGACTTGTGAAAAATCTATTATTTTCGAAAAATTATAGGCGAGTGATGCTTGACGCAACTCAGCTTATATCACTGAAAAAATCAGTTAATAAATCTTTTTGATATTATTTTTGCTGTTTTGCTATCTACTTTTTCTATTTCTCAAAATTTCTCAAAAAAATTCTGTTCTAGAGTGCGTATAATTATTCATTCGCAGTCGTTTATTTCTTAATATTTCTCGACTGTACTCTTAAGATCGTATTTGCCATAGAAGAGCCGCGATAAGCACAGCTAGACTATTAAGCCAAATTAAGAATCGCAGGCGCCGTGCTCGGCGCGTAACTAAGACATCGAGTTTGCCCGGACTTGGTTCACCATCACCGAGCATCGTTGATTCTTAATACGCGCCACAGTGCCCATTGTCGCCATTTTCCTGGCGATTAACCCGCGGGCCAGTCTCGCTTTCATACAAATTCCCTCGTCTCCGCAGCCCGGGCTATTTTTCTCGCCTAATGTACGCTCGCATTAGCGTCACGAAGTCGCTCTTTACGAGAGGGAAAATTATAATTTCCCTGGGAAAAGTCGGCGCTGAATTTACTACCTCGTGATAGTCGCGCTCACCCTACGGAAAATTCCATCGTGCGCCACCCTTTTTCCTGCGCGACCTGCTTCTACTTCTCCCTCTCTTCCTCCTCCTGCTCGCATTCACTTGCCCCAATCCACCTTGTACAATGTACACCCGTGTCCCTATTCTCGTTTATATCTACGAGCATTTCCCACCTCTGTCACACTTTCTTGATTGCGCGGGTCGCGGATACCTTCGATAAAGTATGGGTGTGTCGAGGGGCGTGACCACGAAATTATTTCTGTACATATCGCACCCGGTGCGACTGCTTTTTTCGAAAATGCCGATAAATTGAATGTTCGAGCTATTTTACTGCTCTGGAATATGCACTGAGAGAAATGTTTAGTACGCATAATCATTTATTTTATTGATATGTGACTAAGAAAAATTTTCTTACTTTTTCATTTGAAAACTGTAGTGTTCTAACCAAAATTTGATCACAATAACATTTCATATCAACAATATAACGATACTAATTGTTATTAAGAATTATATAGAATAAAGGTCTAAAAAGTCTGATAGATAAGCAATGCTCACTGAAAAAAATATTTGTGTAAAATTACATGATTATGCTGGGCCGGAAAAAAACCCAGCATAATTATGTAATTTTACGTAAATATTTTTTTCGGTGCTGTATAAAATTTTGATATTCTAATAACCAATTTGAGTTTCCTACAAAATTATATTGAGATAGCCCAAAAATTACTTTTAGATCTGTAGCAAAATTTTAGCAAAATCGTTCTTTCTGTGTATGGATTTTAATAAAACAATCAAGAAAGTGTAATTGTCTCGAGACAGACGCACGGATGAAAAATAGTCCTCCTCCTTTGGTCGCCCCAAATTTGGCTGTTCGTTGTTGTATGGTTGTAATTGCCCCAGTTTGAAATACGACGAGGGCCACACTGTGATTCAATCAAATCACAACGTGGTTTCGACATAACTTAACATGGCAGGCGATCCACAGGCGAGCGAATTCAGGCGCCGAGGCGGCTGCGGCCGCGATCGTCGGCGACGGCCGATTTGTCTGTTTTACGGTAGATCCCGTAACTCCGCTCGAGCGATATTATTGCCTAATGCGGATCATCGAGCTTTACCGTGCTCGCATTATGCTTCGGTCCGCGCTGCATCCTCCGTCTGTAAATCATAGGCCTGCCCTGCTATTAAACCACCCTACACATTCCAGTAGTAACGGCGCGTCGTTGCCAGCCGCGCGTCGCCAATAGTAGCGCGCCGCGGTTGTCGCAAGCGACGACGTAGGACGAGTATCGTAATCGCCCAATTAAATTAGGCGGTGGCGCGTAATTGTATATCAACGTCTGCCTGGGCGTCCATAATTGGGAGTTGACGTGTTCGCGCACGTATAACGCCACTCGTAGTATAATTAGGATTGTTTTCGTTGTGAAAACGCGCGAGAGCGCACCGGGTAAAGCCCTGGCAATCGCGCCTCGTCGATACGTTACTTCCACCGACGCTACTAATTATTTTACTTTGTTTCGTTAGCCACGTATTGCGCGTACAGCTTTAACGTTATTATAACAATCGCGCGAGAGCGCTCGGTATACGTAATTACCAAAGCTCTCTACGTCGCGCTATTCGTAAAGAGATCCTCCGGAGAACGTGCTTGGTTTTTGGAACGAGCGGTGATTCATTGACGGCAAGTCGTTCGCACGTTCGCGGAAACGTTGATAAAAAAAATGAATCTGCATTTTCCTAAAGTAGTTCAGAGATTAGTAATTCCATGTGTTAACGATTATTATTATTCCAGCGAGCATTAGCAAATTGTTGCAATTATTTGTAAGTATTTGTAGCATGAATTTCTCACTTTAATTTGGATCGTACTGCGATAGCATTCAGCCATCGTAATGAAAGACCGTCAGCCTGAAATTGAGAATTTTCCTCTCGAGAGCGTAGTCTCGCAACGAGAAATTATTACCAGCTGCTGCCGATGGACCACTTACGCGACTTATAAGTTTACGCAGAGAAGCGTGTATTTAACTCACAACACCGCGAGAGATACACGGCAGATGACGACAGTATAAGATTCCGCAAACTGAAATCAGAATCAAAACAGGACGCAAAATCTCTCGCTTGTGGTTCGTGGCGTCGCGTCATAGAGACACCGAGAATCTCGACACATGCCTGCATGTGCGGCGCGTACGTAGATTCTCGTTGTGCTATTAATTCAGCACCTAAGCAAGACGAGCTTACACCGCAGATAAACAGCTACGACATTCGATTTGAGATGTGAGTGCATGTTACGTGAGAGCTAGTTACTGTTATGGAAACAGGTCACGCGAAATTAATTCGAGGATTGAAAAACGAAACGGCAGTGTAATATTGCATGCTCTGCTTGTCGTTTATTCCGTAGGTGGTGTTATTTGTGGTTATATCATGATAAATCTGGTAATAGTATCATCGATGTAACTCAATATTGCCCGAAATGTCAAAGCGGATTATTTGATTTCCGCTCTGACGATTTTTCACCCTCGTTACGCCTATCACTTTTTACCCTTTCTGTTCACAGTTTTTTTTACGTTCAACGATATTTTCCGGAAATCGTCGCAAAGAGCGTATCTTTTTATATCTCATCAGAAAAATGAATTATAATTATATATCTCACATGATGTGCATTTATATCCGCTGATGCTGATGCATACGAATTTACGAAATAATTCGTGAATCCATCATAGGAAACATTAATTACATCGCAACGATTTCATTTTGTCTCACTTTGATTACAGATTGTTATGCCACACTCGCAATATTACTAGTATTGCTTTTGCCTACCATCTACGCAGGTTTATTCGTGGTTGAGCATATAGCTAACAGAGCCAGTGCAATCTCGCAGTAGTTATTGCAAAGCGTGGTCAGCCAGTAGTTACGCTAGCCCATATACATCAGTTAGCTCTAGCTAGTGTATAATGCACTGCATGTGCGTATTTGACATCGATTAAATCGAGGAGGTCTATTAATTAGTATTATATATCAGATGTCTGGAATCGAATAATTCAGATAGAAGTCTAGAATTATGTTCACATATTGGCGTCTAAAACTAGGTCATCTATTAGCTTCGCTGAATATTATCGATATCACATTTAAAGTGCAACGACATTAATTTACGATATTTATTTACCATCAATCATGTGTCAAGATTGATGTTACATGATTCATGTGATGTTAAATAAATCACGTGATAAACTGATATGCGTATGCATGTAGCTACCTAAAAAGAACAGAAAAAAAATAAAAGATGTCAAAATATATATGATAAAATTTTAGTTCGTCAAAATGACATCAAATAGTATAAACTTTTGATGTTTTCTGAATATATATTTCAATAAACACAAATATATAACTGTGACATTGCCATAATAAAACAGAATGTAACAAGTAATATGATATAACGTATATAGTACATCCCCGTTAGTTGTTATTTTCCACTCATTGGATTCTGCAATTATATAATAGATATAAATATAACTAAAATGTTATATATAATGTATTAAACACGTTATATTCCGTTTTATTACAGCGCGCAATGTTATAGTTATATATTTGTATTTACTGAAATATGACGTTAAGAAAACGTCAACAGTTTATGCAATTTGACAAACTATTTAAAATTTTATCATTTTAACTTTTTTATTCTTCTTGAGTAGCTATACATGGACACTGATTTATCACATAATACATTTAACATCAATCATAATATATAATATGATTGACGTTAAATAAATATCGTAAATTAATATGGTTACACTTTAGATGTGACATCGAGAGTATTAACCAGGCTACTAGGTGACCTAGTTTTAGATTCCAATTATTGATATATGGCAATCTAGATATTACATAACACATAATTATATCAATACATTTTGGTACACATAATTTTCAGGAATATTACAGATTCGTGAATTAATCTTCACACAGTACCAAAAATTGTACATACTATCAAAATACATCTCATTTTACTTTCTTCGAATTCAATTTTGAAGACTTATCTTCAAGAAAAATCATTTTATTAGACTTTATATTAACTAAACACTCTCTCTTCAGTAAAGTCACTCATTTGCGAATAGTACGCAGCGTCACTTTAAAATGTACATAGTGGATTTGTACTTCTCGTACAAGTAAAAAAACCAAACAGAATAGAATAGAAAACGCAGCATCTGAAAACATGAGATTTCACACGAAATGAGTTCTATTAAAAAATACAGGTGCGTGCGTGCGTGCGTGTGTGTGTAAACATAATTTGTATATAATACCTTGGTATTTTTTAATACTCATTTTGTATACGAATGAAATGTTAAATTATATAAATTTAATAAAAACCAAATAATCTTCGTCTTATCATGCGGCAGTACCAAATACTCACGGGTGAATGACTTTAACGAACAATTTAGTTGAAAGAATCAATATAAAAGCATTTTTAAGTTATCTGAAATCGATATTTCAATCATGACCAAAAATGACGCAAGCTTAGTGAATTGCCGTCAAATTGACATCTTTTCTGTTTTCCTTGGATAATTAATAAATTTAAAATTTAAGTGAGTCCTTTCTTAATTTCAATCCAAGTTGGCTTCAATCTATCTCCACCTAATTTGGCAGTGCACAAAGCGTCTAATTCATTTCGCGGATCGTTCTGAGAGACGTAGTTCTATTGTCGCGCAGTTAATTGCACGGTAATTACAAAGCGGTGTTCGAAGAAAATCAAGACGAGTTGTTTTATTTCCACTCTGACAATTTCTGTGTTTCTCTTGTTACGTCTCTTGATTTTTCTGTTTTTTTACAGCTTTATATGGTTTACAATTTTCTCCGAGAATTGTCAGCAAGAATATACCGCTTTATTTCCCATTGGAGTTATGATGTAATAGCAGTCCGTAATTAGCAGTGAATTATATTAACCTTGAATTGCTTTAAAAATTGTGTTCGTTAAACTGGAGACAAGTAATATTTTTATATGATATTCATTTTTCCTGTATACTGCAGCCATATAAAGAGAAATAAAATTGTGCGACAACACGCAAAATTAAATCTAGCTAATAAACTGATTTAATAATAGCTGGAAAACGATCGCGTCATACATTTTAATCAAAATATATATATATCGTTATCTTTTTATATTAATACGTTTACTTTATTAACGCATTATAAAAAGGAAATATTCAATACATTTAATAATTTCGATGTCTCTTGTTTTATGCTTTGTATACTTTTTTATGAGCACACCTTTTTTAGACCAACATAAAAGTTTATGCCTTCGTTAAAGGAAAGTTGTAATACAAATTCTGTAAGATTGATAAACAAAAAAACGATTTAGCTAAACGAAAAGATATGACATTTTGACGACCAACTTGAGCGTCCTACGTAATTATTTTAATGGTTCAATAAAATTATTTTTAGATCTGTATAATTTAAGCTAAATTTTTAAATACTTCAGCACAAAACCGTTCTTCCTATGTGAATGTTTCCTATAACAGTCGCGATCTCGCGACCTCGCCCATCTTTTGAACAATTGAATTAGGTACTTTAAATGCAATCGAGTCGAGTACTTGTTACGTCAATTCGTCATCCATTCGGACATTTGCGGATTACGCATTTTAGAATAATAATCTCGTCAAATTCGTGACCGAGCAAACCGCGATAACTGCTGCACATTTTCGATGACAAAATTTCGGTTTTGTACATGGCGTTGCTGATACGAAGTTTCATGAGTATGGGTAAATTGTGTCGCGTTTTACTCTATTTGAAGTACATTGATGTAAAAAAATTGATACGTATAAAATCGTCGCATGCAAAATCGCATGATGTTGTCATATATATTATAAAAATAAGTTAAATTCTACTTTTGTCCTTGTTACGGTTTTCACTGTATTGTCAATTTAAAATTAAAAAATTATCCAATCAATAAACAAAGATATCTTTGTATTTAATTAAATTTACTGCAATGATAATATTTCGTTATGCCATCGTCATTTGTTTGCATGACTAATTGTAAATGGGAAAAATAAAAATAGAAAAATAGAAAAAAATGAAGAACGTAAATACATATAAACAGATATAGGGACAGCCATAGTGACAGCCAAAGTTAAAGAAAAACAAGTTGGTGCGATTAAAAAAAATATGTTAATAATTAATGATACGCATTATGTGTTCTTATTATAAGTTCAGTATTAGTTTGAGAATGTAAAGGGATGACATAAATTTGATAAAAAGCCACCGATTCGATCAGAGTTTTTATGTACAATTATCAAAACGGGATATAGATTGATAGAGCCATTCATCCTGTGTAAAGCCTCGCTTACTTTCTGTGCTACACG